CAGCACTAATAAGTCCATAGAGGAAAAAACCCTCCGTTGAAACTTAAAAACAGCTCGAGGCTGTTTTACTACACTGTCGTATTTGAACACGCCTCTGGAGTGGAGCTCTATTTAAGGTAAAGTCCTCAATTGCTTATCTTAACAGTTTACAGGTTTATGTATATACATATGTTTTGCTTTGGGGGTTTTTTTACCCTTAAATGCAGTGATGTTCATTACAGGAACAGACTTCCACGTCTCCAAGAATACATCCCATTTCTTTTTTTTTAATATATATTCTTTTTATTCCTCTCTAAATGCGAGCACCACGCACTCATTTGTGTTTTTTCAATCAAATTTACAAGCTCCCCAAAGACATTTCCTGTGTAAAGGCTGTCTGTGTGTCTGCGAGGGAGTCCCATGGATTTTCCAAACTCCTTATTTGGTTAACAAGCTACACTGCAGATAGGAATGATGGGGGAGAGCCAGGCACAATGTGGAGAAAGTCTGTGAGAAGACGAGTGGAGGGTACAGGCAGAGGAGGGGAAACTCCCTGTGATGATAGGAAATGGCTTAATCTGATCCAAACACACACCAACAGATAAACTGTTAGGCACAGCTACGTACACACACGCTTTCACCGGTGACAAGCCAATAGAGAGTGGCTGCTGTTTGTGCTTTTGTCCACTGATTTGTGTATCGCTGTCGCATAAAAATGACTTTCACGGTAAACATTGTTGTTCAGAGGCCTGCTCTGTTTCAAACTGATGAAGTGTCTCTGAGCAGGGAAAACAAGTCGCCGTTGCTCCTCGCCAAACTTTTAGCCCGGGCCGAGAAGATTTGAAAAGTTTCTCTTGTGGAACTGGAGCGGATTACGGAACGTTTTTCTGTAATGGATTCATCCAGAGACGTACCTCTTAAAGGGGCATTATTCCACTTATATCCTGCCCAATTTTATTAGTTTGTTGCTGAATGTATTTTGGAGAGGAACAATCAGTATTCACTCCAAATAAGGTTAAATGATCTGTGTGAACACACATCAAGCTGGTCTGAATGGATTAATGGACATATTATTCATAAGCTGACCCTCTGATCATGAACCAATAAAACGTGGGACTTGTTTATTTATTTTTTTAAGTAATAGTGGTAAATATCAGCATGAGTTGTTTCTTGCTGCAAATTCCTGCCTTGTAGAAATCAAAACGCTGCTGACTTCTTGTCTTTCCCATTTTGAAGAATGGGAGAAGAGAGAAAATATCCTCTGTTGGCCCATATTTATATCCCAAGAAGTCGTGGATTACCAATTCATTTGATCAATATCTTAACATCCATTTGAAACCTTTTTTTTTTAGATATTTAAGTGTATGATTATATTTAAATGTAAAAAAAGTTATATATTTAAATAAACTAAGGATTTCCTCACATATTTTCCACCAGCAGGGCTAATAAATGTGAGCTATATTTTCACCACAGCAAAATACAGGCTTACAATAAAATGAAGCAAGATGCTGTGCATTTAAATACTGAAATATAAACAAATTAGCGGTTGGAATATGTCAAAGTATTCATTTGGTTGGTCCTAAGCGGTTTGCCATTTCACTGGATTGAATTATTGCAAACGTCAGATCATCGAACTGCACCGATTCCCCAAACGAAATAAATGACGAAAGATGTCATTGGAAGCAAGTATCTTGACACTGAAAAGAATAAACATTTTTTTCTTAAGCTATTAGTCATAACCAAAGCCACAGGGCTCACTGAAATATAGCCTTTAATCTCCGTGGACCACAGGGATCCAGCAGCAGCTGCTCCCGCTGCAGAAACTCTTGGCATTTCTGGTTTCCTCCAGCCGTATTGAAGTCAGTATTATTTGTAGGCCTGTTAGCGAGCAGAATGGATCTTATTAGCGGACGTCTGGCTGAGTGCTGCTCATCTATTGCTGTGGTTTTCAGCTCTGGTTAGCATCATTATCGTCTTAGCTGTATAAAAGCCGGCGTGTAATAAAACCACACACGTACACTTGTTGCTCTCTCGTGTAAAACTGTGCAAAGCCTACAGCTTAACCGTCACTTTAATTTTTTTAATTTTTTTTATTATTATTATTTTATTTTTAAATCATAATGTGGCTTTCGTTTTATTGAATGTTTGTTCAGAGGCTCTTCGGTGAGCTTTCCATAGGAACAGGCGCCCGTGGGGACGCTTCGTTCCTGCAGCCACGGTGACATAACATGTACATGTTCCCCGTGTTTTGTTTAGTCTGACTGAATTCAACCCACCAGCAATCTGCTCCGCACAAACAAACACGTTCGAGCTTCAAAGGCCAGTTGTTTACACAAATGGACAGATAACGCCCACATTTGTAAGCAGTGTGGACGGCAGCTATTTATGCAAATGCATACATAAAAGAATATGCCCGCACGTTGGCTGTAGTTATATAAATGTCATTGCTGCGAGGGATCTGGAGCGACGGGGTTTTAATCAGTTGGGTTTTTGTCCGAAAATGATCTCGTATTCCATCTGAGCACACACACACACACACACACACACGCACACACTTGTTTTCTTAACATAAAAATAAAACGGTGATTCCCAAAGTCCAATTTTCCGATCCAAATACGTCAAGGCCAGTCGCCTAAAGGAGGGGAGTTACCCGCGCCGCTGCCTGCTGTGCTTCATGACTTCCTGTCTGTCCATCTGTGTTTAATGCCAGAGACAGTTTCCTATTAGAATTAAATATGGACCACAGCAGAAGGGAAGCTCTTTGGAGCACTATCTGTTCTGCAGAGTGATTCAGATTATACTTTAATTAAATTTAAAATGAAACACTTAAGTCTCATGAGTTTTAGTGGGTTGTAGTCCACATAAGATCGGGACTTAAATATAACCTGAAACTGTAAAAGCTGCATCTTTACCACTTCTAAAAATGATTTAATCTTTCGCTTTTTGATTGAAAGCACATGAGAAGCATTGTCCTGTAAAACCACACATCTGTAGAGCTGCTGGAAAAGGAGGGGCTCAGGGAGGGCAAAGAACACAAAATAAGTCGTAACTGTGACTCGGTTCCCAAATCTCTTACTAAGGAGCTGGTCAGATTTATTTATTTTCAAAAACAAAACTATAAACTCATAGAGCAGGCTGGAAAACAATGAAAAGATGATTTATATTTGCACTGCGAAGAAAAAGGAGACATGTGGTTCCTGGAGGACTCTGCGTTCTTTCCATACTAGTTGAGCAGAGTTGGAGAAGGGGACCAGCGGCGCCGCTGCCCACAGGAGACTTTGGGTCCAGATTCGCTTTAGCATCTGTTCTGATTGAAAATGTACGCAGCAATTGGAACATGTTAAAGTCAATTGAGCCTTGCAGACTGATTGCGATTCTCTATGACCAAGATAGACCTGAGTTCGATTTTGTTCTGGCATATGCAGCAATTTGACAGGAATGTCATGAGAGAAACAGGAAGTGAGATACGGAGGCAAAGTGAAACGCATCTGCTGTGGGGGAAAACACGGTTGCTTACAGTGCAGGCAATTTCTGGCTAGCATGCTCTCGACGCTCAGTTTGTCATTTCTAAAGGAAACTGAATATTTTTCCGTGGTAAACGGAAAATGATACACAAGCATTGTTCTGTTTCAGAAAATTGTCACGTTTGCGTACCTCCAGCTGGAAAGAGAATTCTGAAACGATAGCATCCTTGTCAGCAGAAACTAGTGTTGTATTTTAAATATGTCACAAAACATATACTCTGTCTTGCAACAGAAACAGATGGCACTTGGTATCCATTTTGCAACAACAGCAATCGGAGAATCCTTTAGTTCCTTATAAGGCGAGCTTGGAAAAGTACATGGACACAAAAGTTGATGGAGCGAATCAAGAGGTGGAGAAAAACAACAGATGCAGGGATATTGTATTTTTGTCCAATCTCATCTCCTGCTGATAGAGTTGGCATTTGTAGTTTTACACGACTGTGTGTGTGTGTGTGTGTGTGTGTGGAGCGCAATCTTCTGGCTGCGTATCTTAAAAAATCTAATATTTGTCTGGATGGTTTTCTGGGCGCTTTCTCCGTTGTAAGCGTTGGAGAAGTGCTTTCCAAACACTGACCAAAATCTTCACGTATGAAGGATCAGGCAGAAGAAGTGGAGGGAGAGCAAATGGGAGGAGATGCATCCGATGAGAGAAGCACTGGAGTGGAGATCTGTCACAGCTGCTCAGATTGTTTGTTTTTTTTTTGTTTTTTTTGTTTTTTTTTTCTTCCTGCTTTTTAGCAAAGTCAGATGGAGGGCATCTCTGCGGAAAGACGGATATACACACATCGCGATCCCTAGAGTAACTTGTGTGAGGCTGTGTGCATATTTGGATTCCTGCAGCCAAAATTCCTTTAGTGGAGGCGTGAAGGCAAGCTAGTGTTAAAAATGTGCGAACGCCGCCATGCGAGTGTGATACCACCTCCGTCTGAGAGCGCCGCTGTGTTTGTATCCTTGTGGGGACAAATCTGACTCTGAGGTTGCAGGTGTGGTTGATGCTTTTGACAACTAAGGATGCTCTCCAAATATTTAGAGGGGAAAAAAAGAAAACGTTCAAAACTTGAGTATTTTACATTCGGTTGGTCCTTTAGCTCACATTTTTCCACATTTAATTAATTTATTTTGAACATAACGTACAAAAGTAATCCCGTCACACCCCGTTGCCCTAACCCTTTATGCAGCGTCGGCTTATTAAAGAACATGTTTGGACAATTTTTTACACATTTTCATGTTGCTACCACAAACTTTATTACTATGTTTTTGGGGGTGTTTTGTGGCAGACAACTCAAAGTAGTGCAGTTCTTTACAAAAGAAAAGTTGAAAAGTGTGGTGTTTGTGTGTGTGTGTTTTTTTTTTTTTAGTAACTCACTAGTGTGTATAGTTTTCTGGGGCATTTTATGGAAATCTGGGCATCAACTCAGGTGTTTCACCCTGTCTCCTCAGTGAGTGGTTCAGGATTTATTTTTGGAAACAAAACACAGGCTCTGAAACATTAGATTAATCACACAAAACATTTACTACGTCGCCAGTTTGATTGAAATGGGTTTTCTTCAGGAGGCAAACCCAACTCAAAGCTGTTTTCTCATGTTGATCCTCCGAGTCCCTCTCTGGTCGGCGTTATCGAGATGTTATCTTTGGTCTTCTCCCTGTTCAGATCCGTCCTGCTAAAATAAAGGCAAAAATCACTTCTATGAAGACATTTTGTTGCTTCTGTCATGATGTACTTGTCAGTTTTATTTGTTTGAATTCAAGATCGTGATCTTACAAATACATGTAAGAGGTAAAAGCCGCACCGGTGGTTATGTTTTACTCCTGACGGAGGCAACTGTGAGGTTTCTCAGTCATGACATCCTGAGCATTTCCATTTAATCAGCAGTGAGTAAAGTTCTCAAAGGCTCCACCTTGTGGCAGAGGAGAAGTTGACTCCATCACTTCTTCAGTGCCGGCCTGGCGGTCATGGGATTCTCTGCAGCAGAAGGGTAAATCTGCTCTCCATCTGCTGCTCAGAGACAAAGCTAGGCGCATTTATCCCTCTAATGCAATAAGCTAAACTCTGTTGCCTCTCTTTGTATTTGCCTGTGGCGTTAGAATATCTTTTTTTTTTTTTACAGCGTTAGAGTGACGCAGTTGATTTGACATGTGATGCATAAAATTGGATGAATGAACACCACTGTGTTCGGTCAGAAAAACAAGTGGAGTCGAGCTATTTTTGAATAAACGTTCATAATCGATGATGTAGGCATCGTTGTCTCGTCGTTGGAGTCGGCTGTGTTTGCATGTGTCCCTTTCTGCTTGAAGGGGTCGCGTGTGTCCGAGCCGCTTGGCGCTCATGCAACGTTTTTTTTTTTTTTTTTCATGGAGTGTTCAACACGGGCTCCAGATCTGTGATCAGAGATGACGCTCACACGGGGTGTGTGTGTTCCCATTTCCTGCCCCGTGGGCCGGATTATGAGTTTTCTCTCTGCTGCCTTTTTGTCATTGCCTGTAGTGGATTTGGATCAAACCAAACCGAGGGTTTTGTTCCGGACTGAAAACTCAAGATAAACAGCCATGTCTGCAGGCACTCGTTTCACACACGGAGCACGAAATATACAGTCGAAGATGACGGAGGCCAACTGCAACAACGAAGGCGCTCAGTTCCACACACTTCACTGAGAGGAGTTGAACAGATACAATAAAAACAACGGCTTCAGAGAAATTATATCCTTGATTTCTCACATTCACACATTACTGTTGCATTTCACAGTCAGGTTTGTTGTTGTGTTTTTTTTTTTTTAAATATCCCATCGAATAGGTGAGGGAGAACAGCAGGACAAAGTCACGACTGTGTATCACAAGTTTTGATATAATCATGTCTGTGCGATGGGTGACTGAAAGTGGAAATTTGAGCTTACATTCCCAACAGAGTGCAGAGGAACGCTGGTTTCAAGAGGTGCTCCTATCTGTTTGATTGGTATGTGATCAGTTTATATTGACCAAATATAATTTCAATATTTCTGTATCGGTGTAGCATAAAGTGCTTTGAGCGGTCAGCTTGACTGGAAAGGCGCAATGTAAATTCAGTTTGTTTACATTTTATCCAGATGCTTCATCAATTGTTTAAATTATGGCTGCACTTTTAAAACACATTACATAGATTTACAATAGTTCCAGTAGGAACCTTTGTATTCATGGGGAGTTTTGGTATGCCTTAAATCTGACGCACAACCGTAACAGACGACGAACGTGCTTCTCTTGACCTGCTGGGGGTTCGGTTTAGCCTCAAACAATCTGATGAGATGCTGGAAAGGACTACTGTGTGTGCAAGTTGACCTGTGACCAAAGCCTGAATTATCATCTCAAACCAAAACATTTTGCTGCAGTTACAGACAAACTGAGATCAGACAAGATTTCAGGGAAAGATTTACTGATTCCCATCAAGGATTTTGTTTGTTTTGCTCTTGAGTGATGGAGACTTTGCAAGATCCGTCTACCTGATCCCAGCCTCTTGTGTTTACCGAAGGACTCGTTCTATTCATGGATCGTTCTAATAGTTTGGTTCGGCATCAGAAGTAAACTGGGACAGTGCGTACTACTCTGATAATTGATGAACAGGTCCAGCATGTCTGGACCTGCAGCTGACTCTCGGCAGCCAGACTTGCCTTGCGCCAACATCATTACTTTGGACTGAATGTATGTGGGTCAGAGGAGGATTACAAATGTGGATCATATCTGAACTAAATATGCACCGCTATCCGTCTTGGTAGGTGAGAGAGGTGTTGATTTCATGAAAACACGAGAAACTAAAAACGTTGATGATGGCGTATTTGGTGTTAGGAACTCTGCAGCTGAGTAGTTGTAATGTCGCGTCTGATTGATGTCAACTTGTCATGTAAGTCTGCAAATCCCAAACTTCAATAAAAAATAAAAAAAAAACATGTTTGTATACTTCATGCACCACTTCCACTGGTCTTTAGCGTTTATGTATTTGATGCTAACAAATGGACTCGGTATCTACTTTGAATTTAAAATTGAATGGAGTCCTGATTAGGATGTTTGCTGAGCACAGAGTGGCTTTCACAAGATCCATCTGGTTTGTACTGATTTGAGCTAATTTAAATGCATCAAAGATGAAAGAGGCAATAAATAATCCGTCTGTTTCCTGATGGGAGCCTGTGGGGAATGTGGCTTTTTTTATTTTTTATTTTTTATTTCCTGCTGCTGCTTCTTCTTCTTCCAGTTTCTGGCTTGTCCTGTCCTCACTGTTCTGCCTTCTTCTTCTTGTTCTTCTTCTTCTCCTCCTCCTTCTCCCCTCTGCCTTCCCTCCCGCCCTTTCAGTAAAACCATCAAGGTGAAAATAATTGATGACGAGGAGTACGAGAAGAACAAAGCCTTCTACATTGAGATCGGAGAGCCTCGCCTGGTGGAGAGCAACGACGCCAAAGGTCAAGAAGAGGGTGAGCCGCCTGACCGGTCCCGAAAGCCGACCACGCGAAGCTCCAGAGCGTCCGCCATACCGCAGCGGCTGCATGCTGTTAACACGGAAACTCCACAGGAGGAGACGTAGCTTTGACTGTTCTGACTCTCGGTTTTATTCTCCTCCTGATGCGTCCGGGGGGAGCATGCAGCCGACTGCGGGGTCACCTCATCTCACCACATCTACCACCTAGTTTTTTGTTTTTTTTTTTGTAATCGTTTTATATGTGTTTTAACTTGCATACCTTGTCATGCCATTTTTATTGTTTGTTGGTTTTTTCTTTGCGGTTTTTTTTTGTTGTCTTTCATGCATGCATTTACCACCTTCCTTCTGTATGTGTTTGTGTGTACGTGTGTTGTCCCATACAGGAAGACCATAACCGTTAGAATCTTAGACCGGGAGGAGTACAGTAAGGAATCCTCCTTCTTCATTGTGCTCGAAACCCCCGAGTGGAGACGCAACAGGAAGGAGCAGACAGGTGTGACGGCCAATCAGCATCGATCATACACTTTGACTCTCACTTAAACTTCCCTCGTTTCCAAAACTTGGAACGGCGGGGCAATTCCCAAATTGTAGTGCATGGTTTGTGGTTATGTTATGTCTTTCCTATGCAGCATGTCATTGTCTCAGTTGACATTTTGCTTTGAGTTGAGCTTTAGTTTGATTACAATTGAATTAAACAAAAACCAGTGTTATTGTCAGTAGGTAAGTAAGCCTACTTCACCAAACCCAAGAACTCACTTTTCCACAAGAGAAATGTGGGGGTGGGGGGAAATGTACTGGTAGTTTTATACTTTACCACATAATCTGAAGGGTTTTGCCTAAATGCAGGTGGCACTGATTGACACAAAATTTGTCGCAAGTCATCAGATTTCAGTACCAGTACTATGTATACCATAGAGGCCATAAAATGGAGCCATAATCAGCCACATACAGGCTTGGTTTCCATCTTTTTGTGATTTTCATGTTTTCTGAGACTCGGGTTAAAAGCTTGAATTGAATTTTCTTGTTGACTCAGCTACACAAGCTGAAACTCAAACTTTAAACTGTTAAATGAAAGGCTTACCAATATCAAGGCATAATGATTAAAATGCTTTTATCACAACTGTGCAAATCTTCTTCAGCCGTGCAAAAAAAGTATTTGTTTCCCCCTGCCCCTTTACAAGATGAGCAAACTTGGTGGATTAGAAATTTCCAGTCATATGTTGAATATTAAGAAGCATCACCCTTAACCCTATTTCTAAACTTCAGTTGGTAATCTATAAGCAGCGACCGTGTCAAGCAGCTAATTGCAGGTTTGCTACCAGGCCACACAGCCCAACTAATTCACCATCTAAGATCACACATTACTCTGTAAAGTGCAGAATGGAAAACTGTAGAATTTTTTTGAGAAATACTTAAAAACTTCTCAAATTTAGCTACACTTAGGCACTGGTGTTTTATATTTTTGCTTAAATTGATGTATCAAAATTAGAAAAGTGGTCGTCAAAAGCAAAATAATTTTGCGCAATTTTAAAATGGTTCGAGTAGACAATTGTTGCTTTTCTTTTAACTGTGCTATTTTTAGTTATACATTTCGGAGTTGCATACTGTTAACTTCAAGCAGGAAGGTGCACCATTTAAATTAATTCACCCAAACAATAAACATCGAGCCAAAAATCCATGAACGGCATCAGCAGCACAGCAAAGCTGCCTTCACATGAAAAGTAGCCCAATTACGAGCTAACAGCACTTAGCTCATCTGTTGACTGTGAACTATGTAGTTTGCATCAGTAATGCAGCAGTTCTATTACACAGATGGTAAGCAAGGAGGACTCATTAAGCAGTGTGCCATTATTCATGTATTAATTCATTAATTCATGTATTAATTAGTCATGGACTAATTAATAATGCATTGCCATAATGTGATTGGCTTTATGATTTGTACTAATAATTTAACTGTTACAACACTATTCTGGTGCCATAACAGCTGAGTGTTTTTTTTAAAGTACAGAACTGTACAACAATTTTAAGTCACCTGTAATTTTATTATACCTCAAAAAAAAAAAAAAAAAAAAAAAACAGCCTTTTTTTTAATGTTTTGGAGATGACATGATTCGACGTTCCCCCGGTCTTTCTGAAGGACTCTCAAATGTTTTCTTTGAAATTGAGCTGCTCTCTGGCTTGTACGTAACCATGGCAGCACATGGTCCCACATTTTCCTCCATTCATGAGTAAAGTGGACATGTTGAAACCAAAAGGACTAATTTACTATAAGACACTAAAATACATCATTCATTTCATTGATTTATCTTTTGCTACTTGACAGAGAAGAGCAACTAATTTTCTCAAGAGGTTATTATTTTAATGTTTTGTTTTTTTTATCTAAACTTGTGAAGGTCTATTATCTATGATGTAACTTATGAATTCACTGACAAACCAATACAGATTTAAAGAACTTTTATAATGTAAATATTACTCATAAAAAGAAATAGACAAAATGGGAACCTAAAATAAAAAATGTTAAATTTGTAAATGTTTACATTTTGGAAATACAATGATGCTGGAGATGCCATCTAAAGCTAAATTAGCTTAGATTTCAATGAATTTCTGGCTTTAAGAATAACATATTTAATTACTTCAAACATCTTAATACTAACTTATAACAGCCTAAAATGTTTTTGTAGTTACATGGTAATGCGTTATAGCAGTCAAAATTGTACATTTCTGTAGAAAATAAATTTCAAATTGTAATATTAAATAAAGTTTGTAACATCTCCAAAAAAATACTTGACCTTTTCCCCAAATCATTGCTTAAAATCTCATCTCGTTCAGATGACTCTGATTATGACTCCTTACCCCCCTCAATGTAACGGGCAATACTCTTTCTTCAACTTCTGTTTGGTTGACACTGCGCATAGTTTGTTCAATCCAGTTCTGAAACCACAAGAAAAATTGATCAGAGGTCACATTATGGTCGTGAAATGCACACCCAGAATCTTAACTCTGACATAATTAGCAGTGTCACAGAAGTAATTTCATCTGACGTTGCTACAAATCAACAACATGCCAGTCGGTTCAAGTTAAATCAGCCCATTACTGTTCTCCTCTTGCCGTCTAAAAGGGTTTTTTTGTTGTTTTTTTTTGCCATTAATCTCACCTCAGCTCCTCTGCGCAGCCTGATTAAAAGCAGCTTTCTCTGCGTTTGATTCACTCACACACTTAACACACAGCTCAGTGCCGCCATTGTGGTAATGGCAGTGTGTGTGCATGTGCGTGTGCGTGTTTACCAGCCTTGGACGATGGTTGCATAGTGATCAAATACAAAGGCTGCATATCGCATTATCACAGTCAGGAGATCAAACACACCTCCAGGGACACACAGAGCAGACACTCGCCATCATCAGGCTGCACTGGGTTTGTGTGTTTAATGACTGTTTTATGAACTGATGTGGTTCTCTGTGCTAAATGAGCCCAGCATCTACAGCTTTATTGCTTTGGACTGTTTCAGGCTGCATGTTGTTCATGCATACACGCGTACACACACATGTGGGTATTTGTACACACAAGCCAACAAAATCTTTATTTCAATTAAATTTAAATTAAAAAAGAAAAGAAAAGTTGATCTTCTTGGTTTATGTTTAGTGCCAAAAATATATTTAAATATTTTTTTAAAATAGATTTATTTAAATGACTTCTTCAAAAATATATCTTTTTTTTTTTCTTTTTGCCAAGTTGTGGTTTTATGTAGTTTATAGTCAGTTACCCAGGGTGGTATTAGAAGAAAGGGCGTACCATGTAAAAAAAATCTCATGTATTTCACCCTAAAATGTTTTTTATTCGTATATGTTGAGTATATGACTATGTTGAGTATATGACTAGTTTAATCCCGTGTGAGTAGTTGACCAATATTCCCGGCTGTTAATTGAATTATTCCGACGATTAACCAAATTAAAAAAAATAAAATAATTCACATTCTGCAGATTTTCCATTTCACTCTTTTTGATACAATTAGAAGTACATTAAAATGCAAACAGACAAATAACTCAATTTCTGTAATTCAACCACTAAACCTGACTTTCCTAATTAAGTCTAAACAGCGATGTCAAGAGGACCTGTGGCCTATTTTCCATGTTGTTTTTGAGTAAGTGGACATTTGACCTGAAATGTTAATAAGATGTCCGCTGGACGTCAAGTGTTTTTTTATCGGTGCTTGGAAGAAGTTAAACTTCAGTCAGTTTGGATAATTTAGCTGTAAATGCACCATTAATTCTCCAGATTACCTAAAAATGCTGCATTCAGGGCTTTTCACTGTAAAATTACTGACCAACAAAAGCCAATGGCCCATTTGCCCATTTATAACCCTAACACCAGTATTTTCCTTGAACCACATACATTCACTTCATGCTATAAATTTGCATTTTACAGCAAAAACGAGTGAGTTGTGTAAAACGACTCGATCTTCTTTTCTGTCCCTAGTTGCTGTTCAATGATCAAAGCGCCAGTTCTCCCGGTTCACTCCCCTCAGCGCGTTACCAAGAGACTCTTAGATGTAAATTAGATTTTTTTACTTTTCTTGGCACATCCTATCAGAGAATTTTAAATAAGCTTTACAGTGCCCTCCATCAGAGTCGACAGCTGGAGAAAAGGAACAAAACAGCCCACACTTACACTCAATTGTTGATTAATTAATGTGTGTTAATTGTCCCTACAGACATAAAATCTGGGAAAAAAATAAATAAATAAATCCAGTTTCATTCTCCATTAACAGTGGTGTAATGATCACGATACCAAAATCAATAAATTAGAATAATCATTAAGAAGTACATTTCAGTAGTTAAGCTAAAGTCAAAACTTATATACAGTAGATG